AAGAGTTCTTCATTCGCACCTGTGACGTGTTGCAACACCCGCTCGAACTCCTCCTGGTACTCCATCACTGTACCCCGTTGTCGTAGCTTTGCAAGTTTGCCAAAGTAATCCACGTATTGGTTGGGATCAAAATGAAGTTTAAATTTAGTAACAAAATCATCCCACCCGTTAATCATCTTGTTCTCCATGCGCCAACGAAACCAATCGGCCGCCGGCCCTTCCAACATAAGCGTTACACAGCGAAGCCGCTCGTCCGGAGGGGTATCGTAGGGCTATTTGTTTACCAATTATTTATTAGTATAACTAAATTTTTTACATTTATTTATTGAACTGTATTGATTATTTCGCTCATCACGGTTCACTCCAATATGCCATTGGCCACCATTTTACGAGGTCTACCCGAAAATCTAATTTTTAACTAAAATGGCCAACTGTACAAATATTTCATATTTTGGAGTCAATAAATAATCTATTTATTTTAATAAAATAACGGCTAATTACCAAGCCGGTTTTTAGGGCGTTACACTTTATGTAAGTATTTTTTGGCGAATCATTTTGATGAAAATAAATGTAAAATATATATTTTGAACTCATCAAATTTTGGTGATTGCTGAAAATATGTTGATTATGCAGTGTTATTTTAGATAAAAATTTCTTTAAAACTTTACTCTGAAATAATTTCAAATCAGCAGAAATAATATTTTATGTGTTATCATAAATACTAAAATAAATTATATTTCATTTATTGTGGAAATTCAAAGAATAATTTTCAGTGTGTCTAAAGACACAAATATTTAAGTATGTTACGTTGTTAAGCATTCAAAAGGAATAATTTAAAAAAAAATTGTGAAAAAGACATGGATTTGAACAAATAATTCCAAAAAACGTGTTTTACAAACTCTTTGATGTTAATGCAACAACATAATTTAATGGCAAAGCTATTCTCTCTTCTAAAGATAAAAAAAAATTGTACGAAAAGTTTTTAATATTGGAAGATGGAAATCTTCACTTAAAATGCATAAAGTGAATTGAAAATTGTTGATTAAATGTCATCTTACTAAGGTAAACAATTGTTACTACAAAATTGATCCAAATATTCTAGTTTGATGTGAACAAATATTGTTGTGGATATACAATTGTAACATATTTGATGTCAACAACTTGCTTGAATGATGTGAAATCTACTTGTTGATGTTATATGAATCAGTGCAACCTTATTAAAGTTTGCAGTTGGAAACTTTGAATTATGAATACTTATTTACCTAGAGAACCTAGAGTGACTACTAGGATAATTGTTATTCACTAAATGTCGGTATACAACTTTAGTTACGAGCGTTAACCGTGAAAATAATTATCTATTCAAAATGACAAATAGTAAGCGTACACGATGAACTGACGCCCCAGACTAAGCAAACTAAGCAGCCTGAGGCTTCTAGAAGATTTACGTGGTAAGGAGAAACATATATAAGTTGTAAGACACTATCATAGAAGGACTGTTGAAGACTCTTGCAATGCAACAAGAGAATCCGTAAATCTACTTGGCACGAATCTTGGCTCAAAAAATTTGAAGCACGATCTATCGGTTAACAATTTCCTCTTAACCTAATCGAAAACATGTGATTGTCTAGTCGCCCAAATAAAAGTGCAAATTGGACTTTTGTCAAATAAATGCCTTTAACAAAAGTGTTATACTCATCATTTTCTTTAAGAATGGAAAAATGTAACGCCCTAAAAGATGGTCTAGAAATTACTTTATGATAAAAGTATTTTTAAAACTATATTTTGACCTAACAAAGTAGAATTTCTATGTTTTAACAAAAATGAAGAAACTTTTCAAATTAAGAATCTTTTGCTAAATCTAAATTTTATAGATAGGTCTCGAAGAGACGAATCCAACGATATGTTTTATAAATAAGTCTGATGTACAAATTTTGAGTTGTGACATTTTAAAAAATGTAATTTGCATAAATTGACAAGTGATTAAAGACGTGAACTTTTGTAAAAGGATTAATTGGAATAAATCATTATCTTGAATAGTATTGATTAAATATGAGAGTATTTTTAATTATATGTTATTTAATCCGTTTTGACTCTATCAAAGTCAACACTTGAAAATATGATGTCAGAAAAATGTTTTGATTTCATCATAACTCACGTTTTGACTGTCTGATTTTAAAATTGCGATATGTTTTTAATTTGGAATAGTTTGGGCAAAATAGTGTGTATTGTTTGGCTAAAATCCTAAACTTTAATCCCCAAATCCCTCCCAATCACGTAGCCACCCTATGAAATCTCAAAGAATTGTAATTGAGAGAAAGATCCCCTATCCTGGACACCCCTTCAACAACTTTGCTAAAGTGTGCACAACATTGGAGAGCTGAGGCCGAGTAACATGTTGAACATGAGTTCAAACCCCTTTATTATTTTCTAGAATATTTTTTGTTTTGATAAATGACAAACAGAATGATTAAATTCAAAGATGATAAAAAATTTATTTTTCGTATCAAGAAATGCAAAGAGGCGTATCCAGATATTTACGGTGATAAAAATCAACGCTCTCCCCTACGCAAATTTTTGAAGTGAAGTGAAGACTCCGAAGACTTTTATTTCTAT